GATTTTGCTTCCATGCTCGGCTCCCTCTGTGCGGTCAGGTGCAGGCAGCACCCGGTCCACACGAAGTCCGCTGAGATTCCACTCGCAGGCGATCACGGCACATTGCCAAAAGAACACTCGAGGCTGCCCGCTGCTGTGGTGGAGCCACCATCTTGGAGAGAAGAGCCCTCACCCCGGAGTCCAAGCGAGTCATCTGCCCGTCCCTATACTCCCAGACAGACCTCTGTGCCTGAGGGGTCGGGTCCTGAAGCAAAGTGTCATAAGTCTCCGCACCAAAAAGAGCCCTTCCTCTGAAGACCCTGAAGGCCAAGGCCCCCATGGCAAAGACATCGCATGCTGGACCTATGCGGACTCGTTTCTGATTAGCCATGGCACACTCGAAGGGACGGTACGGCAGAGTGTAGACCTCTCGACCGACCACCGTGGCATGTCCTTCCGGGCCCAGCTCCACGGAGAGACCAAAGTCGCAAAGCTTCAGCCTCGGACAGGAATCTGGCGAGCCCGAGGCCGAGTCCAGGAAGACCAGAGTGTTCCCGGGCTTCACATCCGCATGGACCACGCCCTTCTCGTGAAGGTACATGAGAGCAGACAAAAGCTGCAAAACCATTCGCCAGCAGTCCTTTTTATTGAAAGAGCCCTGTTCGTCCAAGTAGCGGCCGAGATTCTGGTGGCCACACTCCAGCTTCAAGGCCACCTTGTTGCAGGCCGTACTCGTCAGCCCGAAAGACCAGACCACGCCCGGGTGATGCAACATGGCCAGCAACCGTGCCTCGTGAGACAAGTCCTGGAGCAAATGCTCTTTCCCGATCTTCAAAGCAAAAGTCCTGCCGGCCTCGTCCTTTGCCCTGTAGACCGAACCGTAGGCACCGGAACCCAGATAAATCTGAGCTCTGAGGCACAAGCCGTCCGGACCTGCGAAAACCTCCACCAAGTCCTGGCCACTCTCAGCGGAATCCTTGGGTGGGTCCCCGTCCCCGGAGCAAACAGCTTGCTCGTCGGACTCGCAGGCCAAGAGCCTCTTCCGTCGTTGCTGAGATGTCCTTGCCTTCTCCCCCGCTAAGTCCGTCCAGATCTGGCGGTGCCGCTTGCGGAGTTTTGACCTAAGCCATGCAAGACAGAACTCAAGAAGTCCCCTAGGAACACAACTTGTGCACTCCACAGATCGCGACTTGACTAATGAAACCGAAACACCACTTCTCCAAAAGTTCTTCTCGCGACAGCTTGGGAGGTGTCTTCATCTTCAGCCGACGGACCAGAGGAAGGGAGGCTCCCGCCTTGTGGTGAGCAAGAAACAAAGCGAAGGCCGAAGGAGGCCGTTTGATTCCCAAGGACTTGTTCGAAACATACCTCGGCATGGCTCCTGCTCAAAGCAAGACCGTTTCAGGCCTGGCCAAAGCAGACTACGACCTAAAGTCCAGAGACCAGTCCTCTTGAGCACAAAAAAAGCGGACCTGAAATCTTGAGTCTGCTCAGTCTTCCATGA